AACACATGGAGGTGATCAACCACCAAACAATGGAATCAAGTGTTGCCTCACCATGTCCAAATAAGAGAAAAAAAGCTAAGGTGAGTGGCAATGCATCTGATTCTATTGCAAAAAAGCTTGGGAGATATCTCCAAGGTATTTGGTGAATATGTTCAAGAGAGCCGTAAGCAGCTTGACAATATTGCACATCGAGTTGAGTACATGCATGATGTTGCAGATGCAAGAAGGAGAGTGAATGCGGAACTTGAGAATATCAATGGTTTGTCTATGGTTGATCGCCATGCGGCTCTTTTTAAGATTTGTTCTGACCCAATAAGGTTGACATCTTCTTTAGTTTGCCGAATTATTAGCGACCTGCGTGGGTTGGTGGTCTGTTGTGGCAGCCACCACAACTTTGATAAAATTACTTGTTTTTGTCGTTCGACTAGGCCACCACCTAAAATTTTTTTTGCTAAGAATGTGTGAGGATTTTTTGTGAAGGTGAATGTAACAAATGTTGTAGAGGTAGTTCGAGTACATGAACAGTTCTATTTTTTTGGTATATTTTTTGGTGTGTATGAACTATTTGGTTCGAGTATGTGTATGTTTTTGATAGAACTAATTTATGTAAATTTATATATGATGGAGACATTGTTAATATGGCCAACTATATATTTGAGTGGAATAATGTTCCAACCTTATTATGAGTAACAATAGGTTGCATTTTTTGTGTACGTAGATATGAATAGGAAGCAACGTTGGTATGTAGTATTCGTTGGATGACAAGTTGGTATTTACGAGTCATGGGTGGAATGTTATGCGCATGTGAACAAGTATCCAGGTGCATTATACAAATCTTATGATTCGTATGCTGAAGCAGAAATATCATTGGCAATGCACAATGCACGACGTAATGTTGATGATGTACCCAATGCGATGGATTTTCATCCCCTTGCACCTATGGACAATGTCGTTGACGATGGTGTTGTGAACAACGATGAAGCAAATGTTCGTGCAGTTGGAACAAACGCATACACTCGTGATCTAATTTGGTGCATGATAAGTGTAGTCATGCTTATTGTGGGTATCGTGTTCACCCATATTGTGTACTCTTTAATGGGTTATCGTAGGTTTGTTTAAGTGATTACCAGAACAACAAACATATTTTTTTATCGGCAAGACAATATGTAATGACTTGTGTACATGTTTTATGTAGACCTTAGTATCTTATGCATTTTGATCAACTATATTTGCATAGTAATAAGTTGATTTTGTCCATACAATTAATTGTTAAATATATGTAACTATGAATGAGTATACAATGTATGCATGTAATTCATTTACTGTCAACTATAAGGCTTATCTTATGTACGGTTGAACCCAAATTAATATGTAATTTATATGTTGTAGTTGACAATGAAGATCCCAAAGATTTTGGAGGATAAAACAGACGTCATTATAGACACACTGTTAGAATTCAAGAATAAAGGAAAGTTACTTCCTATGGGCTGTTACACGCATAATATGATGGATGATTTATTGCGCATCGTTAAACGACGTTGTAGAGGGTTTACATTGTCGTTTACTGAACTTATTCGCATTATTTTCTACTGGAAAAGACAATTCTTCACTATTACAACAATGCTTGATTTTGACAATTTTACCTGGGACCCTTTGAAGAAGTCGGTCGTAATATGGCTAGGAAGAAGACCTGTTGAGTATTTGGAGGTAAGTTATTTCATTCTTAGAATTTTCTTTACATTATTGTCAATTATGAAAAGATGTTTCACATATATATATATTTGTGGCCATTAACACATACTTTCATATTATTAATTGTAGGAGGATGATTTTGCTTCGCAACATTGTTTTCAACCATGCCCGAATTTTGAATATTTTGGTGTTATATTTAAAAAAGATGAAACAAGTTCAAGTCACCCTCCTAGTGACAATGTTGGGAGTTCACCGTCAGTGAACTCTCACTTTGACGGTGATATCATAGTGATTGATGATTGAATGTTGGATGCGATTGGTCAGGTTGTCTGTTGTAATGGTAACTTATAATATTTGTATGTATTATAATGTATATGTGCATGTAGCAGTTGGGTAAGTATGTTTACCCATTTTTTTGTATGCAACACGCATTAGCGTGTGTGCATGTAGCTTCACGCTTCGTACTTTCTTGTGTTGCCTTCGTTTTGTATGTATACTTGAAGGCAACAAAGAATATAAACATATCAGGTACGTGTAATTACGTAGTACGCTGCCTTTCTTTTGCTTCGTCTTTTGTATAAGACTATGTGTGATAATGAAATATGTTTAAGTGTTTATCGATTCGTGTGTATCGGTTATTTTTTTTTATTTTTATAACAATGTGTGACAATTTTATGAGCAAATTAATTAGATCAAAATTTATTTGTGTTGCAAACATTAAAACCAAATTATTTTCGGTTTTTACACTTGGTAACATACATGAAAATTGGAGTAAAGTTTAAAGGTGGACAAAATAAATAATGTTGGCTCACCCAACAATGACTTTGAATTGGATAGAAGTGAAGGGTAAAATTACAATTTAATGTAAAATGTAATAGAATTTACACAAAAAATAATAGTTTATCCGTGGGCCTCATAATATACAAAAGTACTTCCCAAATGAAGGATTGAATTGCATTACTTTATTAATATCCTGTCCATGTCCCCAGACTTGGGTTTTCATTGGATTGGTTTGGATTAAAAAACCAAACCAATTTTTCCCCCCCAAACTTGCCAAACAGCCCTAGGGTTAACTTCGACTAAATTAAAAAAGTTTGGACTAATTATAAATTATACCCTTCAAAGTTTAAATATTTTATATTATGATCTAAAAAAAATTTCATTAATTAATGCTCATTAAATGACTTTCAATTGTATCGTATGATAACATCTACTTGTCATACTTGAGTTAATAAAAAAATATTTTAAAAATTACAAAATAATTATAAAATACCTATTTTTAACTTACAATATTTGTTAAATAGTTATTTTTTGTTTACAATTAGACACAAATCTTTTGATTGTCCAATCAAATTGAAGTCAGATACAAATAACACAATTGTAGACAAAAAATAGTTATTTAACAAATATTACAGACAATTAATAAGTATTTTTTAATTTAAAAAAATATTAAATAGTATTATATGAATTATCATAAATCTAAAATATATGACACAACACGATTGATTCGACTCAAAATAATTAATCTCAGGGGCACACGTATTTATAATTAATCTCACATGAAAATATTTTTTTTATTTTTGTTGAGAGCTGAGTAATTTATAATTAATCTCAGGGGGACACGTAGTTATATACGGGTGGAATAGCCCCACCCATTCATCAATTCTTTTGTTTTTATCACCAGGCACCACTGCACCAGTTCTTTATCTCAGGAGATAGAGAGAGAGAGAGAGAGAGAGAGAGAGAGAGAGTATGGAGACTTCCTGTGTGTTTGGCAACGGGTTTCAGCATATCCTCACCCGCCCTTCACCCATAACCTCCTCGGTTTCCAATCCCAGACCTAACAAGAAGTCTCAATCCACCGGTGCGATTACTCCTTCTACCACATCTACTATTCTCCGTGAGCCTTTCAGTAGACCCACAAATGCCTCGACCACACGCTCAAGACATCATCTGTCAGTTTCCTATAAAGCAAGACAATCTGCTATTCTTGATATTCAAGAGTCCTCTGATTTGGACTCTGCTCTTGCAAGGTTTTTTCTCACTTCAATTCCTCATTACTGCAAGTCTGGGTATCTTTATTGTTCATTTGTCCTTTACATCTGAAGTTGTCCTCTTCATTGTTGCTTATGATGGCTACTTTATTGGTTTTGTGAATAAACCAATTGGGTCTTGTAAATAGTAGTAGACTTGGGTTTTTTCGTTTAATTTTGTTCACAATAAGAATTTAAACTGATATCCGAATTGGGATTTGTTACTATAAGTAGAATTGGGTCTTTTCGTTTGAGTTCATTCTTTTGAGCTGATATCCCAGTTGGGTTTTGTAACTAGTAGGAGAATTGGGTCTTTTTTGTTTGAGTTTGTATTGCAAGTAATACGTTGGACACGCGAAGTTGGTGCTTCTGTTGATCAACTGTTAAGTCGATCTCCGCAGTTTTTCAGTACTCGTTTTACTGAATTATGCAAAAGTTAAATACAAGGAAAAAATTTAGTTTACCATTTAGTCTCCCCTAACTTGCTTAAACAACAAATGGTTTTTACTGCTTTACAGGTCAGGAAGGATGCTGAGAGTGCAAGATTTGAATGTTATTTTGCGCCATTTTGGGAAGCTTAACAGGTGGCAGGAGCTTTCTCAGGTCCTACTGCTAGAAGGCTCCAGTACCTTTTTATTGATGTGCTAATCATTATCTTTGCAGTTGGTTTATAGCTAATCATTATCTTTGCAGTTGGTTTATGTTTATGTGTTATTTGCAGAATTCGATATATATTTTCTTGTGAATGACATAAAATTGCCCTAAATTTTCTTTGGTTTTTTTTGTTATGCTGCCTTTTATTTGTGTGTATGCATTACCTATCAAGTCTTTTCATTTAAAGTTTTAGTCCACTTGTGTTCAATATGCTGGTTGCAACTCGATTCAATTAGTTCTTTACATTTCAAAGATAAATAAATAAGTAGTCCCATTAATATTATTACGTAAAACCTAACTTTTGACATTATTTTACACAAAGTGGCTGCCCTAAAGTGCAGACCCTCAACCTTAAGGTTATTGGGACGAAATTTAACCATTGAATCGAGGGCTCCTGCACATTTCAAGTGGGAAAAAAATAAATATTTTACACACTAATGATTTTATGTGTTGCAGGTGTTTCTGCTTTAATGTTTATGGTATTATGATGTGTTTGTAGACCAAATCTTTTGTCTTTTTTGTAGAATACTTATTCATTTTGATGTTATAATTCGCATATTATGAGGTCCCCTCTCTCTCTCTCTCTCCCCTTTCTTTACTATGTATGTTACAAAACACTTTAGGTTGTGGTTTGTAGCTTATAGTTTATTGGGATTGGGTTAATTTGTGTCTGTCTTTCTTTGATAAACTTATTCTATGTAACTTACTTTTTCTCCCCCTCAGTCATTCAATTTCCAATTTTCATATTAGGCCTTGCGTGTTATTGTTATAAGTAAATAAATAAATCAGATCATAATCTTGAGATGGAAATTGTTTTGAGAGAAGCATGCAAACTTTTTTTCAGTGTAAGTATTAAACAACTGGTTTTATGAATTAAGCAGATATAGCACCATAAAATACAAAACTACGTAAAGAATATTCAGTAATTTTTTAACTTTGTATTAGTTGTTGTATCATGTATGTATGTTGACCGGTGAGATGTGAATAGCACTTAACAATGTATTCTTGTAGGTTTCTTTCGTATAATAATTGTAATATTTTGCCAAAAATTTTGACTGAGTTGACTTACTAAACTATATTTGGGTGCACTGGAGCTGTGGGGTCATATGTTATTGGTCTTCAATCTTTCATCCTAAAAAAATTAATTGCATCTATTTTACTTGGCTTCATCAAAGTGGATGTGTAGAGCAATTATGGGTTGGGACTGAAAAAACCTTGGACCTTCCTGATTGAAAATTGAAATGCAGTGGTGGTTTTAAGAGTGTGATCCTGTGATGTTGAGATTTTATATCATATATGCTATTGGAAATTTAATTAATGAAAGTTGTGGCAGTTACTGCTAACTCGTCGTGACTATGTCAAATTTTATTAATTGTAGAACTGTTTACTTCTTTTGTAGAATGAGGAACTTTGTGAAACTAGGGTATATTGAATAGGGAACTTTATCCACTGCTGTAAGGAGAGTTCTTACAGAGTTGGTGGAAGAATTTCGAAAACAAAATATCATGAATAACTGTTTTGTCACTGGGTTTATGGATGAAATGTCTTTGACAATGTTTACCCTTATTTTGTGAATTTCTTCTGGAATTACTGTTCTACTCGTTAGACCTATACGGCTATACCAGATCAAAAGGAACAAAAAGAAAGAAAAAGTCGTAATACCTATTACAAAAGTTTGTGCACTCATGGACTACTTGTATTCTCCTTATATTCTTGTACAGAGCACTTTGATTTTATATCCTTTTTATATTCCTCTTGCTTTATCTCTATGTTTGTGTGTCTGCTTATGTGTTCTTGTAAATTTATGACTCTCTCTCAGTTCACTGACTATTATATAGACCAAATTACTTGTGCGTGTAATTTTCCTTCCTATAATTAGCGATAACAGCTATATATTGCATGTTGGGATTTGTTACAGGTTTTTGATTGGATGCAGCAGAATGGAAAGACTAGTATTGCTTCTTACAGCAGTTATATAAAGTTTCTGGGGAATAGCCTTTATTCAGTTAAGGCTCTGGCACTCTACAATAGCATAAAAGACAAGTCAACCAGGAATAATGTCTCTGTTTGCAATTCTGTTCTTAGTTGTCTGGTGAGGAATGGAAAGTTTGAAAACAGCATCAAACTTTTTCAGCAGATGAAATATGATGGTCTAATACCAGATATTGTTACATACAGTACGGTATGTTATTTTAAGTTGTATAAGTTCCCTAGCATTTACAATTGCTACTTATTCATGTAAACTTATGTTATGACCAATAAGCAGGAAAATGATACGAATATTCAAGAAGGGTCAATAGAATGAATGGTTTATTATTATTTTTATTACTATTGGTATTTAAATTTATGAGGAGCATAATGGACTATTTGCAAGAATTATGGGAGAAATAAAATGTTCTCATTATTAGTCATTACGTATTGTCTAAACATCTTAACTTATCAGAAAAGATGAAGTTGTTTTTGCATGCTATCTATTAATTCGCATTGATGATTCATTGGATCTTCAAAACTACTCTCTTCTGTCATCCTTAGCTACTTGCAGGCTGCACCAAAGCTAGGGGTGGCTATGCTAAGGCATTAGAATTGGTTCAGGAGCTCAAGTGTAATGGGCTGCGCATGGACAGTGTAATCTATGGGATTCTTCTATCTGTCTGTGCATCAAATAATCAATGCAAAGAAGCAGAGAGCTACTTTAACCAGATGAAGGATGAAGGTCATCCTCCAAATGTTTTCCATTACAGCTCTTTGCTCAATGCGTATTCAATGGATGGAAATTATGAGAAGGCTGATGAGTTAGTTGAAGAGATAAAATCTGCAGGGTTAGTACCAAATAAGGTTTGTTATAATGTTTTCCAAGAAGTCAAATATTTTCTACTTTGCTTGTGTTGGTGATGTTATTTTTGCTGAACATTTCTGTTGTTTGTATATTTAGCAGTGTTGAAACCATGGTTTATGTGGGTAATACTTTGGGGGTGTTCGGCGCGGTCTGAAATGAACTTCTTAGCATAGAAGTCCATCTGTAGATGTGCGGAATGCTTGGTGGTCTCGACTTTTGACTTTTCCATCAAAAGTGCATCCCCCAAATGCGCATTTGTAGAAGCCAGCAAAGGGAGCTTCTCAAAACCGCTTGTTTCCACTTCTTGCGAAGTTAGATGCTATCTTTTAAGTGATTTTAGTGTATTCCAATATTAACCTTGATTTTCGAAGCATGATCTGTATTTTAACCCTATAAAAGAACTAATTTGCATATCCACAGAGAGATTCAGATACATATAACTGATATAAGCACAATATATGAATAGGAACTGGGATTAGTTCCATTTTTTTGGCATAGTAGCATTCAACAGACCTTCGCAACAGCTTGACGAATGATATTCGGTCAACAGATTCTGTTATCCACCAATCTCCTTCAACCACCATTAACAGTGCAATATTAGAGAGAGAGAGAGAGCAAAATGGTTAGGGGTTCCACGTTCTTGTTCGAGGGGGGAGATAGAGAGAGAAAAGAAAAAGGTTCGTGGGAAAGCAGAGCACGAGAGACAGTGTTCTAATCCACATATGGCTGTTCAAAAAATGGGTCACGTGTTCTCCACCAATTGCAAGTCATCTCCAGTATTCCCAAGCTTCTAATTGTTTCCTAGATTTTTATAATTTCTTGGTGTAGTTCTATTTTGACTGGATTAGAAATAATAGTTTTTATAATACTTCAATTGAGTGTTTGAAATTTAGGTAAGGTTGCATTTTTTGGTTGATAAGGGTAATATCGGTAAGTATGTGTTATTTCACACTTAGATATCACCACCAAAAATTCTTTGAGGTATAAAAAATATTTTTTTAGTTCAACCGTACTTCTACAATGAATGTTCCACCAAGCATAAAACGTTTTTGTTAAAAGTCCATTTTGTAAAGTACATTCTTAAGATGCACTTTTATTTTGAGAAGTTATGCCAAACACAACCTTTGCATGAGTAATCAAAATATACAATCATGTCTCAGTAAGCATAATTTACTAAATATTGCAACCATGATGTTACATTTTCAGCACTCTCTTTTGGAATGTGATGGACATGGGTTGGTAGGTTGACGCTTTGGATATGATAAAATTTGATTCAGTCTACATGGGTTCTCCTCAACCTCCTCCTTATGTTTGACAAAATCTCATCACTTGATAAAAAAAGGAAAAAATTTCAAATCCTGCCTTGAAATGAAAAATAGAACTAAAAGAGGCATCAATTTCAACATTTTATATAATTATACCAATATTTGCCAAGACTAGTAGATTGTCAAGATGACCTTTCTAAATCTTCAACTTTTTTCAAACATTTAAAACTCCTCTAACTCTTCAAATGCTTGACCTCATGGTTTAATAATTTTTGTAATGTCTTATGGAGGGCCTCATAGAAAAACTCTCAGAAACTAAGAAAATGGTATTTTTATCCTGTTGTTGGCTTTCTTTGTGGACTGAAGAATATTTTCTTGTGTGTCCATCCCTAAGAGTAGGTTGAGATCATTTAAGTTTCACTTTCTAGTAATATTAGAATATATTTCATGATTACTCAGAACCTTTATGGTATTTGTTGGGTGAAATACTATCTGACTGACATCATTTACTGTGTTTGCAAGAATACCTGTTTACTACGTTGCAGTTGCACTGAATGATTTATCTTTTTTTTTTTTGTTTTGAAGAGTCTGGGGATCACTTTTAAGCATGTTGCAGGATATTGACTGAGAATTCGATGTGCACTGTGAATTAAATATGAATAGGACTGCAGTTCCCTAGTCTGAGTGGAATGGGGCAATAAGTTTATGACAGACTTCAAATGGTTTAAACAATGCTTTATAGAGTTGAGCCGTGTTGACGAGTACAGGTGTAAAGAAGATTGCATTGGAGCCAGTTGGGTTATTTTCCAGATTAAAAAGTGTTGGATTCGAATCAAGAATATTATTGACAGTGGTGTTAGGTGTCTAAATACCTAATTCATTTTCCCTTCCTCTCTTTAATCAACACACTTGACGCAGGTAGCTCTGGTGGCCCCTGCTTCTGCCTCTATCAGGCGGCGACAGCCCCCAACCCCACAGCCACGGCATGGAGATATTTACTTTTTTGATAGATTAGTGTGAGCCGCGAGGTCCTTGGCAATCTGACCTTTTCTTTTTTGCTAACATGTTAGACATTTCCAGAGTAAACATTTTATCCATGCCTGTGCATTCTGTAGTTGTTGCAATATGTTTTTCACACATGTTTTCTTGGTCCGACTTGCTAATATTTCTGGAGATAGGCCCTCTTTGTTCTTTTAGGTCCCTTCTTTTTCCTTTTCTTTCTATTAGAGGGAAAATGAATATGAATGGAAGTATTGCTCAAACGTGCATTGCGACATGTATCTGGTGCACAAAACACACGTTACATTTCTATGCTGATCTACTAACATTTCTTTGATTTAAATACAGCCACAGGGATTTTTTTTACTTTTTTTATGTGCTTTTGTTGTTTATCTTAAAACTTTCTCTTTTTTTCTATCTCCCCGTGTGGGATATTACTCTTTTAAGCTTTTACTGACAATGCTGATCTAAGAACATTTCTTTGGTTTAAGTGCAGCCACAGGGATTTTTGTGTTTTTTATTTGCTTTTGTTGTTTATCTTAAAACTTTTTCTTTTTCTTTTCCTTTTCCTTTTTTTTATCTCCCCGTTTGTGATATTGCTCTTTTACGCTTTCAAGCGTTTACTAACAAAGTTTCCTCCACTCTACACCATGTAGGTTATTTTGACGACTTTGCTGAAGGTATATGTTAGGGGAGGTTTGTTTGAAAAATCAAGAGGACTGTTCAAGGACCTAGAAGCTCTGGGCTATGCTGAAGACGAGGTAGACCTTGTGCCTGTATCCCTTTAACCCACTTTAGAAGGAAGAATTTGTAGATTTATATCTCCTAAATATACTTGCGAAATATGTGATTGCATATACCTAATGATATTGCTTCCAAATTACACAAGTAGCCTATAAAATAATTATGTAAGAGTCCCTTACCGAAGTTCACTTTTAGAAATCCATGCTCAATCGGTAAATTGGCTGGTGCTTAATGTATTTCATTCACATCCAATACATCTTATATGAAATTCTTGGTTTCTTTTTTTGTTCTTTATACCTGGTAATGCTAGAAAAATGAATGGCAGTAATCCTAGGGAAGAGGAAAACCGAATCTAATATAGTGAGGTAATGAAGAAAGGTATAGGAACTTTAAATTTAATGGAGCATATAGGCTGCTGGCAAAGCAGATTGGCATAGTAGGATTCACGGAGCCAACCCCATGTAGTTGGGACAAGTCTATGTCAACTTGAGTATTGATCTTTGGTTGTTTCCAACATGAGTAAGCATAAAGATTTGCTCTTTCAGTCTTTGGCTCATCCAATACCAATTGTTTTGAGGTGTTTCATCAAAAGCATTAAGACCTTGTGCTTTGCCTTGGCTTTTTCACAAAAAAAAAAACTCCTAGGTAAATGTTTATGCACCTTCATATACGGTACTAATCAAATTGGTTTGATTTTTGTCTCACATTCTGAAACCGGGTTAACAATGATTTATTCGTTGCAGCTTTCTAAGCTATCCCTGGCATAACTGTTTTTGTCAGTTGCAACCTTCCGTGGCTGATCAAATGCTAATTAACTGCAGATGCCATATTGTTTACTGATGGATGGCCTTGCAAAGGCAGGACATATATATGAAGCCAAATCAATATTCGATGAAATGAAGAAAAAAGCTGTGAAAACTGGTATATTTGCTTTTGGAGTATCTGCCTTCTAGCAAGCTTCTTGAATGTCAAATTCCATATTCCCTCGTCCATCATCCACTATGCATAAAATGCCTGATGAGGTCTGGTGTTGAGCTAGAATGTTTTTTTTTTCCTTCCTTATGGTTTAGGGTTTAGAGCTTTGACTTAAACGCATATAAGCTGTACTCATTTCTTGATAATGGCTCAAGAACCCAGCTGGTAACTCCTGCTTTTATGTTAAAGCAGATATGGAGACTAATTTTCTTCTGTTGTGTTTTTCAGTACAGCATGTGTGTTATTATGTAATTGTCAGATAAATGGACACCCAAAAATGGCCTATTTAGAGGTTTATAAATTTGCTTTCAGTGTTTTTGATTGTTTAACATTGTGATGTTTTAAAGATGGGATGACAATGCTTGTTTTTTCATATCTAGGTTACTGACTTTCTTTGCTGGAATTTCCTGCAGATGGCTACTCTTACAGTATTATGATTTCAGCATTCTGCCGAAGTGGGCTTCTCGAAGAAGCAAAGCAATTGGCTTGTGATTTTGAAGCCGAATATGACAGATATGACGTGGTTATTTTGAATACAATGCTATGTGCATACTGCAGAGCAGCAGAAATGGAGAACGTAATGAAAATGATGAAGAAAATGGATGAATTAGCAATTAGTCCTGATTGGAATACTTTCAATATTTTGATTAAATATTTCTGCAAGGAGAGGTTGTACATGCTTGCTTATCGCACTATGGAGGACATGCACAGGAAAGGCCACCAACCAGAGGAGGTATGCCCCACTTTGTGTAACATCCTTACAAATGGTCTCTCTCTGTTTTTTTTTTTTGATTGATTGGGGGGGGGGGGGGAATATTTTGCTGATCTCTCTCGTATGAACAATGGTTTGTAGCCTTTTGTAGTTTTGAAACTCTGACTTTGCAAATGAGTGCACCAGGGGCAGAGCTGTAGGGCCAAGGGTGGCATACATCTCATCCCTTCCCCTTTTGGGTTTGGGAGCCTGGCAAAAGAAACCCAAGAAAAGGAGAAAAAAAATTAAGAACCACCCATTCGGACACAAATGTATGAAAGTCCCTGGTCTGCTATCTATTCGATGAGGGCCTTACTTACTAAAACAATACATTATGTCCTATATTAATTTTCATATTAGCCTAAATTACAGAAGGTTGGATTGCCCCACGATGCTCTTAACACCAAGGCCGGAGCCACAATTTAACAAATTAATTTTTTTTTACCAAATTGAGGGAAGAAAATTAATATAATAAGATTCATTTACATCATATTTTACATTTTTTGCTTAAACATTCATTTAACACAAAATGACTAAAAATCAGCATTCATAGTGTAAACAAGAAAAAAAAAAGAATATTTATAAAAAAAAATTAATTTGTTAAAGTAAAGTGCCCACCATGGTATCATATTTTACATTTTTCGCTTAAACATTCTTTAAACACAAAATGACTAAAAATCAGCATTCATAGTGTAAACAAGAAAAAAAAAAGACTAATTATAAAATAACATCAATATATCCAAAAACTTTTCAGAACGTGCCGAAAACATGTCGTAACTATTGTATAGGTCTAATAATTGATACAAATAGGGTGGGCAAGTAAAAAAAATCCTTAAGATATCTGTGAAATATATGTAACTAATGGTAAGGAAGAAAGTTTGAGGGTGGGCATAGTCCTATACTGGCTCTGCCGGTGCTTAACACAAGAGGCCTTGCAAACATTTTAAGCAATTTTTTTTTTTTTTGACAAAAGAGGTAATCTCTACAACTCGACTCAACAAAGGTTTATCCCAATAAGATTCATGTTCATATTGCATTAGACAGGTTTTATGTGGGCTGTGAGTTATGAAATGCAACAACACTAAATCCGACACAAGCAGAGTTTAAAAAAGGTATTTTATATATGTAGATACACACATGACACACCCACTAATGTAGCTTGTGTTTGCTGATCTTCTGCTTACCTTTTTGAAACAAGCACAAACTTATGTTGTTGTGTTATAATATAATATTAGAAGCATATATATATATGTGATCCATTTTTTAAACTTTTTGACATGGATTGCACAGTTATGAGTGCATCAATTAGTTAATCTACGACCTTTTTGGTATGCATGACAAAACCAAACACCTGGCTCTACCACTTGAGAACATTGCATGCTTCTGCCCTGCCAAGTTTTGGTTATCCTTTTTTTTCCTCTCCCAAGTCTGGTCATGTATTTCTTGTGGGAAAGAAATAGGTAAAGTTGTAATGCTATAAATTGCTGTATGGCACTAATCTTGAACAAAGTGCTGCTTGGCTTCAACGTAAGGACCAAGGATCAAAATGTCGTGTCGACACGTCCGAAACGTTTCGGAATTTCAACACTCCGAAATGAAACAGTAGTTGAATCACAAAAATTCCAGTGTTTCGGTCGAAACGGTACTGTTTCGGACCGTTTCGGTCGAAACGGCATTGTTTCGAACCGTTTCGACAAAACAGTGATATATTCGGTTCATTATGAATAATTACATTTAATACCCCATTATAATTACATTTAATATCCACTGTAATTACATTTAATACTCACTATAATTATATTTAATATCCCACTATAATTACATTTAATTCTCACTGCTCTTTTGTCTTTTATAATTTTTTTGTTATAAGAATAAATAATTACACTTAATACCCTACTATAATTATATTTAATACCCATTATAATTATATTTAATACATACTGTAATTATATTTAATACCTCACTGCTGTGCAAGTTTTTTGCTTTTTTTTTGTTATAAGTATTAACAATTACATTTAATACCCTAATGTAATTATATTTAATACCTACTGTAATTACATTTAATACCCACTGCAATTACATTTAATTTTTAAGTATACATAAGTATCATTCATTTAATTTGATACCCTTCATTATTAGTATTATAATAAAATAGTATTATTAATTGGATTATATTACCGTAATAATATGATTTGGAGTAACTATTGTCATCATATTTATGTCACATATGGAGTTTCTCTAAGTAGCTACCCAGAGCCTACACCGATGTATGAGCCTGCTCGACACTCCACAGGAGAATGGATGTAATCATGTAAGTATGTACTCATTAGCATTTCATGTGTATTATAAGACGTTAATATTATGTAAAAATGTGTTTATTTCATAAAAATTAAGTGTTTGAAACTAATTTAAGTGACTTTCGCCTCAAGTCAAGCCTTTTTTTCCCTCAAATTTAAATTTATTCTTGTATAAATTGATGTTAACCTAATAAATATGTTGAATTAATAAATTATTTAGCATATCTTTATAAATTAATGGATTGCATTTGTGTTTCTATGCGTTTCCATATTTTTTCTGCGTTTCCATTGCGTTTCCGAAACGTTTCTATTTTTGAGTTGACCGAAACGGTACTTCGAAACGAAATTTTGATCCTTGGTAAGGACAGACCAAGGGACAGTATGGTACACTACTTGAGCTGTGGCTTACCTCAGTTCATATGGTTTGGATGTTTACATTGTGAATTTGGATTCTTAATTTCTTCTCTGCTCATCTGACCAAGATCTACTTGGAGCCACCGGCAAAAATGCATTTTTTTCCTATCTATGCAAATCACACGGCTTGCTTTGAAGGGGCTTGGCAAGAGATAAAGAACTTTTACTACTGATGATTACTTATCTAATTCGTGACATAGTGGGAGCCAATTATTTCCTTTGCTTTTGTGTTGAACCATTTGTTAAATGGGATGATCTGCAGCCAATGGGTTCTATATTTTTTTCTCAAAAGAGGTAATTTATATAACTCAACAAAGCTTTATCCCAATAAGATTCATGTTCATATTGGATTAGACAGGTTTTCTGTTGACTGTCAGTTATGAAACGCAACAACACACCCGACACAAGCAGAGTTAAAAAAGGGTATTTTATGTATATGTCTATAGACACACCCACTCATGTGGCTTGAGTTTGCTGATCTTCTGCATAACTTTTTCAAACAAGCACAAACTCATGTCGTGTCATAATATAATATTAGAAGCAGATGTTGGAAGTCATTTTCTGTTTGAAAGTTCTTCAAGGTTTAACTTACAAGACAGCTTTTTATCGATGACGCTTTCAGTAAAATGTAATTTTTCCATCACAAGAATGACCTTTTTTGCTTTCAATATTTTCAAAAGATGATGTTTTAGTTCAAAATTAGTGAAACTGTATTGCAGTTTTGCCTAATGTGAAAACAAAGTGTCTACCACCATATTTATTTTCAATTTACTTGATGCCTGTTCCTTGCTAAAACCAGGTTCTAGTTGGATTGGAGGTTTTTTTGGGGTATTTGTGGAAAGAAGACAAAAGATTCTATTTAGAGAGCATAGGATTTGTCATGCTACTATTGTGTCATCCGTTTTAAACAAGATGGGATATAATGACTGTAGCTCCAGAGTTTCTTATTGGTTGTTTATGTGCAGGAACTTTGTTCCTCCTTAATTTTTCATCTCGGTAAAAGTGGTGCCCATTCAGAAGCATTTTCTGTATACAAGATGTTGAGATATAGCAAGAGGACAATGTGCCAGGCCCTTCATGAGAAGATTCTGCACATTTTAATTGCTGGACGACTTCTCAAAGATGCATATGTGGTTGTCAAGGTGTGCAATATTGATCCAAGAATCTTATATCAGTTTATTGCTTGGTTTTGCAACTATTGTCTTCTAAGTATCACTATTGTTCAGGACAATGCAAGGTTTATATCTCGGCCTGCTATGAAGAAGTTTGCAACTTCATTTATGAAATTGGGCAATGTAAATTTGATAAATGATGTAATAAAAGCTATCCACAGTTCTGCCTACAAGATAGATCAGGTAATAAATTGATTTTTATTTATATAGAGAAGTTGCATATGAGCATCATTTTTTAAGCATGGGGTTCTTTTACATCGTGATGAGAATATGACACATGAGAGTATGGGTGCTGTTAGGAGTCCGCAACTGCTGTAAAACATCACGAATAACCCATTTGATTTGAACATTTCTGCATTTCGTTTTTGAAGTAAAATGCATGATGTGGCAAGAAGAAAGCATTTGAAGTAATTAAAAATTGACCATTATGAACCTTGGGGCATCTCCTGTTTGGGTTCTATAGACAAATATAATGCAATTTTGTATCTGACAACAGGGAAAAAATGAATATGCAGGTAGCCTGATTGGCTTTGGCACTAAATACTTCCCCTTTCTCCCCTTCAACCACCTCAGATCCACTTGTACGCCAAAACTGGAAATTGGCGTTCTAGTTGTACTTAATGCAATCCAGTTCTCTCTCTTTTTTTTTAATGATTTGGGGTGGGGGAGGACAACGATTACCTCTTCTATATTGCATCTTTGTCTTGCATAACATAGAATCATCTTCTTTTGTTGCATTTTATGGTCTAGGAAGTATTTCATATGGCCATATCTCGTTATGTTGCACATCCCGAAAGAAAGAACTGCTTCTCCAGTTGCTGCAATGGATGCCAGGTCAAGGCTATGTTGTTGATTCGTCAACAAGAAACCTAATTCTCCAGAACTCAGACATATTTGGGCGACAACTCATTACCGAGATATTGTCCAAGCAGCATATGGTGTCAAAAGCATTAAAATCTCGTGAGATGGAGAAATAAGTTTGAAGACCAAGGCATTCTGAGGGAAGTTTATTCTGTAGCTTACCTCTTTGGATGGCCAAAGAAGAATCTGATGCTGGGCCAGCCCTGAAGGCTATGCTGCTGACGTGTAGCGTGTTCATGTTGTCGAAGGATAGTTTCTGTGGTGTATCACCCATTTTTAATCTGACAGATGGCGGTTGGATGAGATTGAGCAATTGATGATATTCCTCGCAAAATGAATCAACAGATCAGGTAACTTCACTGGTCTGAATAGAAGGTAACTTCACTAATCACATTGGCGGAGCCGCCCTCCTTTGTCACTGTTGTTCCTGTTAGAGTATTCATAATAAGGGTAATTTAGGTATTTTTTTAATGTTGTGTTGTCCTATTATATAGGGATTACTTTGTGTATTTTTAGGTTAAGATTGTGTATTACAGACAAGTTTTTCATGAATAATACATTTTTTCTATTTTCTTCTCTTTCTCTTTGATCAATGTTAACATGGTATCAGAGCATTCGGTCCCAGCATACTTATTAAAAATAAATAAATTTGAAGAGCATAACAAGTTAGGGCTGACGTTATCAAGCTAGGACTGATGTCATTGCTGACGTCATTAATCTGGAGTCGGGAGAGCACTATCGTACTCGATTCTTCATGGACTTTACAATGGTATGCTTCGTTTTTGTCTTTGAGGCCATTGGATAGGGTTTTTCAAATTTTGAATGTTTTTCAAAAAATTTCGGCTCTATTTTTTGATCTAGAATTGGGGCTGTTTTTCTTGAATTGTTTGCTTACAATCGGGTCTAAAGGGTGCGATTAAGGGTGTACACTAGCTGGTTGTGTGATTGGAAGACATTTGATTGAGGTTTGGTTGGATTTTGGCTGTTTTGCTTTGTCGGACTACTGTTCACCGTAAGAACAGTCGGTGGCTTTGCTGGTGCCTTTTTCTTGCTGGTTTGTGGTTGAATTTGGGAAGTGGCTTTGGCTGAGTTGTGGTTGGTCCTCTAGGTGTGGCTTCGGCAGTAGCTTCAGCAGTCTGGTTGTTTGCTTCCTTCGACAGTGGGTTCTTTGCTGTTGAGTGCTGTTGTTTTTCGGTGGTATTGTTTTCTTAGGGGCTGTTGGGTTTTGTGATTGCTTTGACTTTGACTGTGGTATAATTGTTGCTACGATGGAAACTCTGATTCTGTACGAGTCATCAGTGCGAGACTAATAGGTGATAATTATATTTATTGGGCGTGAAAAATTTTTTATTGAAAAAAGACATGTGAAATTATATTAGTAGTGTTGTACAGGGTTTAATTGATAATAAGACAGACAATTATTTTGATTTGAAGAGTACTTGGGATATCAACAATGCGAAAATGATCACCTGGATTAATAATTCAGTTGATCAGACAATTGGAGTTCATCTATTCAAGTTTACCACAACTAAGGAAATTTTGGATTATTTGACCACATTTTTTGTTCAGTCTAATTTTACAAAGAGGTATTAGCTAGAATATGAGATTCGAGATACGTGCCAAGGGGACAAAATCATTCAAGAATTTTACTCAGTTATGACTGGTTTCTGGGATCAGCCAGCACTTACTGAATTCATTGAGTTGAGCACTAATCTGACACATCGCACTTTCAGAGAGGAACAGAGGTTGGTGCAATTTTTGATGGCTCTTAGAGATGACTTCGAGGGATTTCGGGGTTCCATTCTTCATCGTCACCCATTTCTCTTGGTGGATGCAGTTATTAATGAGCTCTTAGTTGAAGAGGTTCGTCTTAAAACCCTTTCTGGGAAGGGTCTTCTCCCACTGCCAAATCAGACTGTATTGGCTGTTCCTTCCAAAGTAACCTCTACTTCCCAAAATAAATATCGAGGGCGTGTTGCTTCTAATGAGTGTAGCTTCTATTGTAAAAAGGGTCACTGGAAAGCCCATGTCCAAAGTTGAAGAACAAGAATGCACGAGGGTCTCAAAATCAATCATTTTTAAGTCCAGAGATCATCATACAGCAGTCGTAGCACCACCAGTGAATGAGTCAGCCTCATCAGCTCCTAACCTGCCTATGCTTACAGATTAGCTACAGAAGTTTCTTTCCCTTCATCAATCTGGTGCTCTCACAGTTTCTCCTACTATTGGATCGTTCAGCTTCGGTCCTTCATGTATATCTCGAACTACATGGATCTTTGACTCAGGTGCCACACATCATATGACAAGTGATTCTTCTTTATTTGTATCTATTGATTCTCCTCTATCTTTATCTGTACTTGCTGCCAATGGTTCTCAAATGTCATTAACTGGTGTTGGGACAATTATTTCCTCAAACCTTATACTTTTAGATGTCTGTTATATACCTTAACTTACTTTGAATTTACTATCAGTTAGTCAACTATTTGATTCTGAATTTTTGATTCTTTTCTCTTCTTCTGGTTGTGTTGTGTAGGACTCATGGTCTAAGAAGCTGATTGGGACAGACCGTAGAAAGGGCGGGTTATATGTGTTGGAGGAACTTCATGTCCCAGATGCTGATGCTGCTGCTTCTACTGTTGATTTATCTTCTTTTCGTTTGAGTCCAGAGTCATCTAGTTTTTATTTATGACATTCTTGTCTTGGTCATGTTTCTTATTCTTATTTAAAATTTTTAGCTTCGACTGGTAATTTAGGTAGTTTAGACAGTCATAACATTTCTGATTGTAGTGGATGCAAATTGGATAAATTTAGTGTATTGTCATTCAATAAAAATGTTACTTGTTCTCTTGCACCATTTGATCTTATTCACTCTGATATATGGGGACCGACTCCTATTCCTACAAAATGAGGGTCCAAATATTATGTTTCATTTATTGATGATTACACGAGATACTATTGGGTATTCTTGATGAAACATCAGTTTGAATTCTTTTTCATCTTCACTACATTTTGTAACATGGTATGCACTCAATATTCCACAGTTATTAAATATTTTAATGTGATCAGGGAGGTGAATATACTCTTACTTCTTTTTATGATTTGTTGAAATTTGATGGTACACTTTATCAATCCTTTTGTACTGACACATCTGAGCAGAATGGTGTTGCAGAACGAAAACACCGTCATATTCTAGAGACAGCACGCTCCCTTCTATTATCAGCACATATTCCCAGCTCATTTGGGGGGGGGGGAAGCAGTTTTGACAGCAGTTCATTTGATCAACATCATTCCTACTATTCTCACCTCTGGAGTATCTCCATTTGAAAAGTCATGTGGTAAGCCATCTAACTATTTTTTGTTACGAATGTTTGGTTGTACCTGCTTTGTTTTGCTCCTTAGTGGTCTTCGTACCAAATTTTCTGCCAATTCAGCTTTATGTGTATTTTTTGGATATGGTGAGGGTCAAAAAGGGTATCGTTGCTATGATCCCATCACCATAAACTTTATGTCTCTCGTCATGTTGTTTTTATGGAACATATTCCATTCTTTTCAATTCCATCTAGTTTTTCCTCATTGCATAAGTCTGACATGATATACATTGATCTCTTTCCTACTAATGTTCCTCATGACACATATGTTGGTGATTTACCTGTGTTAGATCCTTCATCTTCTGAGTCGACTATTACTCGTTCCCCTATTGTGCATACATATGTTCGAAGGACTCCAGTTGTCTCTTCTCCGGATGCAGTGCCTCCCCTTTGACAGGTTTGGTTAGAGTAATACTTGTTATTCTTCTGACTTTTGTTCTTTCCTTATTTCTATTCATTCTCTATCTGAATCCTCTTCCTACAAGGAGGCACTACTTGATCCTCTTTGGAAACAGGCTATGGATAAAGAGTTGTCTGTCTTACATAAGACCAAAGCCTGGGAGCTAGTGCCTTTACCGCCTGGTAAACGCACCATTGGTTGTAAGTGGGTTTATAAGATAAAAATCAAGTCGGATGGTTCTGTGGAACGATATACAGCTCAATTAGTAGCCAAGGGGTTTGCTTAGGAATATGGTCTAGATTATGATTAAACTTTTGCTTCTGTTGCCAAGATGCCTATTGTTCGCACCGTCATTGCAGTTGCTGCCATTCGACAATGAAGTTTGTCTCAAATGGATGTGAAAAATACATTTCTACATGGAGATTTGACTGAAGAGGTTTTTATGACACCTTCCCCTGGATTATCTATAGTTCTGGTTAAGTATGTCGCCTTCATCGTGTCTTATATGGTCTTAAACAGGCTCCCAGAGCATGATTTGCCAAATTTTCTTCGATTATCTGTGACTTGGGTTTTCGTGCTAATGACCATGATTTTGCTATCTTTTTACAGTCTACTTCCTCAGGCTATATTATTCTCTTACTATATGTTGATGATATGATTATTACGGGTGATGACATTGCTGACATAGCTTATTGAAAACCCAGTTGCAGGACCATTTTGAGATGAAAGATTTGTGATATTTAGATATTTCTTGGGTATTGAGATTGTTTCCTCACATAAAGGATATCTTCTTTCTCAGTTCAAATATGCTTCAGATGTTACTGAACGAGCTCGTTTATTAGATAATCGGATAATTGAGACCCTTTTAGAGCTCAATGTTCCTTATTCTTCGTCTAACAGTACTCCCTTATCTGACCCAATTCTTTATCGGACTATTGTTGGGAGTTTAATATATCTTACAGTTACTCGTCCAGATATCTCTTATGCTGTTCACATGTGAGTCAATTTGTTGCCTCACCTACCACCGTTCACTGGGCTGCTGTTCTTCGCATTCTTCGTATCTCTGTGGTACTCTACATCAGAGTTTACTCTTTCCTCACTCTTCCTCTATGGAACTCAG